CACGCACGCACGGATAACGCGCGCGCGCCCAGCGAACGCGCGCACGGGGGCTGTTCGACCTTTTTTAAGACTTAGGCTGCACCAAGTATTGCACATAGATGCCTTAGTAGAGGCTTACTTTTGTCTAGGAGCTTCTAGAAGGCCCTAGAGTTGTATAGTAACATGTAGTAGGGACTTGATGAGCCTAGAGCCTTTTGGAGTTGTGTAGAAGGATCTAGGACTTGTGTATGAAGTAGGATTTTGTGGGAAGGGTCTAGAACTCTCAAGACCCTTGTAAGACCTAGAAGGTTCTTTAGAGGAGGTGGTATAGGAGAACCCCCTCCCCTCCCTATTTGCAATCCATCCAAGCAACAACCAAGCTCTCTTGTACAAAGTTTGTGTGAATAATAGTACAAGTTTTTCCTTACAATTTCTCTTGCATATCTTTGCCATATTCTCTAGCCAAGCACTAGCACAGACCGAGTACGGTCCAAGCACGGTGATGCTGACTAAGCTAGTTTGTGAAGGGCGCAACGAGGGGCTTAGGCCGCACGCATCTATCAAGTAAATAAGGGTGTGACAAGTGGTATCAGAGCCACGCTCGGTATCGTGTAAAGTATGGCCGAAGATAAGGAGCAAGACGCATCCGGGTCGGGGGTGATCGAGGAGCAACCCCGAGGGCGGGAGCAGACCATCACGACCAAGGACAAGAAGAGGGGGGACCAAAGCCGAGTTCGCGCTGAGGTCTCGACGTTAGAGACAACTGTCGGAGAGATGGGCGAGAGGCTAGAAAGGGTCGAGTACACCTTTAAGACATTGGAGACGTTCGTCTTGGAGGAGTTCGAGTTCATAAAAGGCACCATCAACGATGGACTCGATGCACGTAGCGCCATAGAAAATCGCTTGGATCACTTGGAGGATCTTATGAAGACGATCCACGAGCGCATCGAGGGGATACACGAGAACATCACCGTCTGCAAGAAGGCAATTGTTAGTGTGGAAACTAACAACACCACGCCAACACCAAGGGTGAAGTGTCCAGAGCCCATAGGCTACAATGGTGTGAGGGACGCCAAAGAAGTTGAAAACTTCTTGTGGAGAATACAACAATATTTCGAGGGCATCAACCTTACCGATGAGGCAACTAAGGTAAAGACTGATTCCCATTACCTTTCTGATACTGCTATGTTATAGTGGCGCCGGAAGCACGACGACATTGAACGTGGCACATGCCGGATAGACACTTGGGACGATTTTGACAAGGAGCTCAAGCGACAATTCTATCCAGAGAACGTAGTGTATGAGGCCCGACGTAAGTTAAGGGAACTGAAGCAAAAGGGCTCTATAAGAGACTATGTCAAAGACTTCAGTACCCTCTTGCTTCAGATCCCTAACACGACTGAGGATGATTCGCTATTTTTTTTGTGGACGGGCTTCAACACTGGGAGAAGCAAAAGCTACAACGTCGGGGCGTCAAAACCGTCGACGACGCTATTGCCGTCGTGGAGTCCCTCATCGAGTTCCGCCCATCATCATCTTCCGATGCCACCAAGAAGGACAAGAAGTACCCTGCTAAAGCTTGGGGAGACAAAAAGGACAACAAGGTCCAAGACTCCCGAGACCACCGACGTGCAACTGGCAAGGAGGATTGCAACGCGGGACGTCAGAACTATGAGGAGAAGAAGCAAGCGTTTGTCCCAAAAGGGGGCTGCTTTGTGTGTAAGGGTCCACATGCCATGAAGGACTGCCCGAAGCTAGGTTCCCTATCCGCAATCGTGGAACAACACGAGTCCGAAAAGAAGGAAGAAGAACCAACCATGATGGGGTCACTGCAGGTCCTAAACGCCCTCAAAGCCAGACCCGAGTGCACCACGACTAGCAAGGGGCTTATGTACGTGGAGGCACAAGTTAACGGGAAGTCGACGAAGGCCCTGAGGGACACAAGAGCCAGTCATAATTTCATCAGCAAGGAGGAGGCCACAAGGTTGGGTCTATCTTTGACCGAAAAAGCCGGATGGTTAAAACGGTCAATGCTAATGCTCGTCGACTAGAGGGAGCCGCAAGCAATGTGGAGCTATGCTTGGGGACATGGCAGGGACGCGTGAACTTTTCAGTCGCACCTATGGACGACTTCAAAGTGGTACTCGGCATGGACTTCCTGCGACAGGTAACAGTGATCCCTATGCCTTCCTTTAGCACCGTTTGCATCTTAGAAAAGGGTTCCCCATGCATGGTGCCAACAATAGAAGGAGACAGTGGGAGTCCCAGCATTCAACTCTCCACAATGCAACTTGCCAAGGGGGCAAAATGAGGTGAACCCACGTACGTAGCCGTACTAAAGGAAGACAATTGCGAGGAGAATTCCCCAAAGGTACCTGACATCATCCGAGGTGTCCTTGAGGAGAACAAGTACGTTATGCCAGCAGCGTTGTCGAGCAAGCTACCACCCAGGCGAGGGGTGGATCACAAGATTGAACTAGAACCGGGCACCAAGCCACCGACCATGGCCCCATACCGTATGCCACCACCCGAGCTTGAGGAATTAAGGAGGTAACTTAAAGAGCTCGTGGAGATAGGGAAGATCGGACCAAGCAAGGCACATTATGGCGCGCCCGTACTTTTTCAAAAGAAACATGACGCGACGCTATGCATGTGCGTAGACTATCGGGTGCTCAACAAAGTAACAATCAAGAATCGCTATCCCATCCCTTTCATTGCTGATTTATTTGATCGACTTGGAGGAGCCCGAGTTTACACCAAGATGGACTTACAAAAGGGTTACTACCAAGTCCGCATCGCCGAAGGAGACGAACCTAAGACCACGTGCATCACGAGGCATGGGTCATACGAATGGTTAGTGATGCCCTTTGGGCTCACTAACGCCCAGCTACATTTTGCACGCTCATGAACGAGATCTTTCATCCATACTTGGATCGGTTCGTAGTGGTGTACTTGGATGACATTGTTGTCTATAGCGGCACGCTTGAGGAGCACGCCGACCACCTACGCACCGTATTCAAGGTACTTCGGGACAATGAGCTTTGCGTAAAGGAGTCCAAATGCATTTTCGCCCAAGAAGAAGTAAAATTCTTAGGACATATCATTGGCCATGGACGAATCAGAATGGACGGGACAAAGGTAAAGGCGATAATGGAATGGAAAGTGCCATCAAAGGTAATCGCATTACGATCCTTCTTAGGGCTAGTCAACTATTATCGGCGATTCATACAGGGCAATTCGGCAAGGGCAGCACCCCTCACTGACCTTCTTAAGAAGGGTAAGTCGTGGGTATGGTTCGACGAGTGCCGACGAGCCTTTGACGACCTCAAGGCCGCGATGAGCCAAGAGCATGTCTTAGCATTACCTGACTTCACCAAACCCTTCGAGGTTCACACAAATGCCTCTAACTTTGCTATTAGGGAAGTACTGATACAAGAGCGGCACCCTATAGCGT